TTGTGATTTCCTTTCTTCAGCAGCTGTTCATCTTACACAAAGTGTTTGTGGCTATCACAGCTGAATTTGCCTATTTGGGCAAGAAAGAGGGAAACAAACACCTCCAGCCTAAATCCAACTAGGGAACTGAAGCAGGGGAGCAGGGAGAGGGGTGTTCAGGTTCTTCCTATATTGCCTTTATTTCTACCCCACTGCAGCAGTGGAAGGAGAACCAACAGGACCCACTTATTTATTTGTTTTCAGCACAGCAGCTAATTGACTGCTGTTTTGAACGTTCTTACCCAAAACAAGAGGGCAATAACCATTTATTCCTCACTGTAACTGCATTGCTGAACTTCTGTTTGCATGCAACATCAGGAGTTCACAACAACATCTAATTGTATTTTCTTTTCTCTCCCTTCCCATGTGCATTGGTGAAGCTTCTTGAAGGTGAGTTAATGTTTTACAGTTGATAATGGAATTGTCTTAAATTTAATCATTATTTTTTGTTTGTCTTTTCCAAGAAACTCTAGCAGCAGGGATTGAAACTGTTAGCAAAAGGCAAAGGACAGTGCTAAAACCTCTGGCCAGTGTCTTAGAGAAAGCATCCAATCTTTGTCTGGAAGCCACTATCAGATACAGTGGAAAGTCCTTGCAATAAAAGTTGTAGCTGAATACTTATGCAGGAAGAAATTTTAATTTGGTGAAACTTTCTGTAATTGTAATTGGTTAGTACTTGATTATTGTTACATGGACACTGGAGTAGCAGAGATCATTGTTACCTGCAGTTTCTGAGAGTTAAAAATCAAACAGCAGTTCTTAACCCTCTGGATTTTACAGACCAGGCCATTAAAAATTGATTTCCCTTGAAACTGGGCAATATAACTCCATTTTCAAGTTACCTTAACTCAGGAGGGAAATGATTATAATTTCTAAGGAAACACTGCTTCAAGTCTTTTTATAATTTCCAAGGATTGTCCTTAACAAGACACATTGGATAGAAACTTCCTTTGAGTGGTGAGGTCTGGTTTAATGCAGACGAAAAGAGTGCAACGGTTTAGCATCATACAGCAATGAGGAAGCACAGCACCTCTAGAATGAACAGTTTTAGATTTAAGCATTTATTCCATCCCTTCTGAAACTTTCTGAACAAAGCACTCTGTTTTTCCAGGCTTTTTTGTTGTGTATGTGCTAAGTTGCTGTGCTCCTTCGAACCTTGACTGCAGACCTCTGTCTCCCCCATCAGACAGCAATTGTTGCCCTTCCTCACCACAGGATTGCAGCAGACCCTCTTAGTAAAAATTGGGGAAGGAGCTTCCCTTTATAGGGCAAATTTATTTACAGGTAGTGCAACTCTATGGAACTTAAGACACTGAGAGTCTCTCAGGTCATATTTTTAGCTGTCTGTAGAGTGAACAGAGCAAATGTTTTGTGTCAGTCTGTAGCAGAAGAGTCACAATGTCTGGAAGGGTTCAGCCTTAATATTTAGGAAACTAATTTGTTTAAGATTGCTTTTAACCCAGCTGAATAGGAACCATTACAGACTATTTATAATAATACATTTCAAGCATAGTTTCAGGGAGAGAGAGAGAATAATAGATCTAACTTATCAAAATTAAATTACAGAATATGAACAACAAAGGAGAAACGTTACACTAAGAAGCCAGCGACAGTCAGACAGCTCTGTACTGGGTAGCAATGATGAAGATGAAGCGATAGATAATGATGTGTATGTGACTGAATTTTTTGCCTTTTTCTTTTCTTTTTTTTTTTTTTTTTTTTTAATAGGGGCAGGATGAAGTTATACTGCTATGGCCTGGCTTATCTTTGAAGCCTTCACTTACTCTACTTATTTCCCTCTTTCTCCTGTGTTGCAT